CTGGTCAAGCATCCAACCGACGAGTGCATCTGGTGTGGAGATGTAATCGTCCAAAGGTGCATCTTGACACACGATCGAGATGCCGTCGTCAGGTAGTGCTCCACCTGAAGTCGAATTGCCAGCGGACGCTGCGTCGAGGGAGAGTCTGAAGCCTGCTGCGTACACCTCATCGGCATCTCCGTCGACTACACCCTTGAGGACTCGCGCAAGGGTAGCGTAGCCTCCAGAAAGTCTGCTCAAAGGACTGATCAGCAGAGACAACATCCTAGCCTCGATTTGCGGCAGCGTTATGGTACCGTTGGAGAGGCTTTGGCCGGCCAGAAACGTGTTATTCCGTGCAGAGGCTCGCATTGGTTCGTCATGAATGCGACGAAGACCGGCGTCTACCACGTCAGCGAGATGTTTGGCATCCTTAGAGAGAGAGGACAAGGGACAGCTCGACGGCCCAGCGGCCAAGCATGCTTTATAAAAGGCCTCGAGCGCCAGCACAGCTTCCGCTTGATCGCCCACGGTCTGACGAGAGACGGGATTGTGTAAGCTGGACGAAGCGTTGACCACGCCGTCCAGGATGAAGAGCCCAGTCTGATCTGGAAACATTGCCATGTACAGCTGACCGATCGTGGTGCCGTAAGAGATGCCCCAGTAGTGAAGCAAGTCGGAATTCGTTGCGATTCCATCGTCACGTGGCGCTGCGGTCTGCGCAAAGTCTTGGTGATGTGCCAGGAGCTGACGCATGTACTCTAGGTCGAGAGCCGTGTAAAAAGTGCCAATGAACGGCAGGAAGTCGACGCTATCTTTCGAGCTGTGTTTCAAGCAGCCTTTTCTCCACTCCGCATAGCGAGCGAGCGAATGATCCACATCTTCTCGTAGCGCACGAATCTGCTCCGGTGTGGAGGTGGTGCCTGGCTTGAGAATGGGCGCATTAATCTGAACGTCCAATTCGAAACGCGCCTGCTCGACGCCGCTGCCGAAGCAGATCGGAGCAGAAGGCTGGGACTGCCCGACGCCCCTTTGATCCCATCCGATCAGCTCGTACTCTGCATTGGTGCGATCCAGGAAATGTTGCCAATTGGCGGCTAGAAAGATACTTCCTGATCCGCCTGGACCGCCTGGATTGAGGAAGATCCTTCCTTTGCTCTGACGCTTGCCCGATCTGATCTGGCTAGGCACTAGGCGAAAGATTGCCAGATCGGCTCTGCGTTGATCGTTGGGATCAGAGTAGGTATAGGGGACAGAGATGGCAAGACAGTCCATTTGCTCGCGCAGAGGCGAGGTGGGGCCAAGCTCGCTGCTGTTGTAGCTGCTGGACTGGGACAGGGCGATGTGGCATATCGGCGAATCGGCGGCCCAGTGCAGCTTCTCTGCGTCCAGTGGATGTGCTGCAACGTAGTCCGAAATGATCTTTGCCGCCTCGACTGGGGTGCTCGGATTGTGCGCAGCGCATGAGCTGATTGTCAGCGTTGAGAAGAAGAGCGCGAGGAGAAGAAGTACGTGAAGCGTGACTAGGCGACCCATCGCGCTTGGTCACCGTTTCTCGCCAGTGAGATGCCTCGAGCAGAGAATTGATGGGAAGCTTGGCGAGCGAGAGTGAGGAGCACACGAGAATGCAAAACAAGACGAAACAAGGGCAAGGCGAGACCTTTATCGCTCGATCCAACGCTGCATAGTGAGTGAGCTTTTTGGCCAAACATTCACACGCGCATTGTCCTTGATGAAGGTGTCCAATTTGGGTAACACTTTATCCTCAGTAGCTGACGCACACAGAGCCCTTTGCCGTCCCGCTCAGCCCGGACCCGCAGCTAAGCAATCACAATGACGGTGCTGCTCAGCCGGTCTCGGATCGCTGAAGCGGTGCGGTGTAGTCAGTCGAGCATGGCGCTGATATGATGCAGAGTCGAACAAGGACGTATATAGCGTCAGAGATGATGACCACTTTGACTGGCCTTGGACGTGACGTGTGGGGCGTCTCATCGAGCATACGTGCTGCGTGCCAAGTGACTTTTGGCTACGTTGTATGGGAGCCGAGCACTCCTGTTCAACAGATGCTGGGTCGTAACCTGACCTTCTCTTTTGCGTTCACACTCGTCACTTCTTCGACGATGAATGGGAGCCGTTTGCGCCTGCTAGCTGCTGCTGCGCATAGGTAGCGCTTGATCGACGTGATCACCTGTGTGCCCTGCTCGAATGACGCGAGAAGCTGGTGCAACTGCTGTGCAATGAGCACTCGTCCAAACCTCTCTGACTACCAAAAGGGCGCGTGGGGATGTGGGAATGAAGATGCTCAAAACCGCTGAGGCAGACCACGCACACATTTGGCATGGTGCTGGGGACAATTATATCATGACGCTCTGACTCTGACTCACAAGACTCTTGACTCACCACTCAAGAGAGTGTTGTATACCCTACCTTGAGCACATTTGGAGTCGTGGATCGGCGGTGAGCGCCGCCGAGCTCTTGACGCTACGTGAGCCATGGCTTGGCTTCATCCTTGCTGCGTTGGGGGACTCATCCTCTTCATGCATACGCGTGGACAGAGGTCGTGGCTTGACGTCACTCAGACTGTTGTGACTGTGACTCAGACTGATCATGCACTGTGACTCACATCAGTGACTTGATTCGTGATTCCCTACGGCCACCTCGTCCCTCCAGCATCCGCTCCGTGTACGGTACCGTTCGTCAAGGCAGCGTGCGATCGCACGCGGCACTCACCACTCACGCACGTCCCTGCATGCATGCCTGCTAGCAGGTCTCTCTGCGCGGCGCAGCAGCAGCAGCACAGCCCGCGCGCAAGCAGACTCGATGCTGCTGCTGCGCGCGCTCTTTTGGAAATTGGCAGGAGCTACAGTACCGTACACAGCAGACGTGGAGGGGGAAAGCGGCCAGCCATGGCGGTGTGGTGATTAATCCTTCCTTGACCAAGACCGCATCCACAGCGGACCTCGATCATCAGCAGCATCAAACTTGCTTCCCAACCTTCACGTCCCAACTCTTCAACTACCAGACTCAGTCCTTGCATCTCACCCGACCTTTGAGCCAATCTTGCAATCACTCGCGCACTCGCAACACCTCACTGAGCGCCAGCGTTCAAGATGACCGTAAGTGGGAAGGCGTGCGTGGATGGATGCGAAGCAAGCCTTCGACGCTGACAAGCCCGACTCCTCCACACACCAC